TAAAATTAGCAATGTAGGGTTAAATGAAAAGTTGAAAAATACTAGATCTAAACTACTTTTTTTTCTATTTAGAATGGCTGTATATTGTAACAGATAATTACAAACTATTTATTTTTACAGCTAAAATTAATACTTTTCAAATCTGGGTTAATTAAATTATATTACTTTAAATCTGTAGTTATACACACACACACACTCAGTGCTCAGTCATTTATCATAGCCAGACAGCTTTGTGTAGACAATTGAACATATGCTAAGTTACTGAGTGTTACAAAAAATTTTTTTTTCATTACGTTTTCTTATCTGACCTAATAAGTTTATAATTTTTCACATTTAAGTTACTTTCATAATAATACATTTAAAATATATATAAGGAAAAGAGAAACGTATTACCCACTGTTTGGACTTGTTTTTGTTGTTGATGGGTGAAGCACTGTAGACTTACTTTTTTGTTACTGTTGGTGGTCCAAAATATAATTAGTTGTTATTTCATATATATATATACAACTTAGAACAAAAAACATTATCCAAAAAATAAATACCCTAAAACTACTATAATTTAACTGGGTTTCTAACTAAGTTATAAATAGATAAAAAAAGATATTCCATATGAAACTTAATACTATGTGTTGTTGTGGTGAGGCCACTAATGGGTTGATTTACAACTACCCAACCAAATCACAGGAGTGTAACTCATAGTTAAAAGAGCCTTATTAGTGATGGGAGACAGAAATGGCTTGTATTCTTAGATAACTCAAATTGGATAGAGCATTGGCCCTTTTAGCCAAAGGTCCGAAGTTAAAGCCCCACTACTGAATATTTTCTGAGACTGAACTGTGAGATGTTTGTTTATATGTGTATATCTGCTAGTGGAATTTTCACTTATTAGTAATGATTGTTAGAAAGTGGCTTAGCAGTAAGCCTGTAGGCTTATAATAAAAGCCTGGTTTCGATACCTGTGGTGGGAAATGATGCACAAATAGCCCATCATGTAGCTTTGTGCTTAACAACAGAATAAACAAACTTAAGATGCAAACAAACTGATATATGGATTTTTGTTTGCTGTACTCACTTACCAACTGTTGGTTTCTTTGGATAAACTGGATATGTGTATTAATATGAAAAGATTAAATGCAAAATTCGGTATATCCAATTTTGCCACTTTGAGGAAATTGGCTTTTTTTCTTTCTGCAGTTTCACACAAACATGCTATGAAATTAAAAGTGAGTTATTTATTAAATGAAACTATTATGAATCATTTCATGAAATCCTAGAAAGCTCTAACTTTCTTATTTATTTCAAATTTTACAAAATCTGTTTTATTTTCAAACAAAATGTTTTGTATCCAATTTTCATTCTAGATTCTATAGTTTAAGGGATCTGTGTCCCCTGGTATCAAAATTGATGGAATAAGATTGTGTTTTGCTTGTTACTTCCACATTAAACAAATTTTTACAATTATAAAACATCTTTTAAGTTTACAAGCAAAATCTTTTATACTTAATTTACTTTTTTTTATACTTATACTTACAAAAAATGAGCCATAAACAAAACAAAGAAATGTAGTCATGCATCTACCTTAATTAGCGTGACTTGCATGTCAGTTACTTTTTATGGAGATGAGGCTTGACAATAAGATGCACTTTTTTTAGCCTCATTTTGAGTCTAGTAGAATTTCATAGTGGTCCTGTGATTGTCAGAAGTGAAATGAAAAAGTGATGTTTATTACTTAAAACATATGTAATCAGAAAGACATTTGGTAAAATATAGGCCTACTCATGGAAATTTGACAGGTCAGGATGGCAGGAGTGCCAGAGAGTCTGCAACGTACTATTTTCAAGGGGATACAAAAAAAAAGTGGGATTCTTGTGATCCTCCACACTTGCCACAAAAGCTGTATATCCGTAGACCTTTTAACTCCAAATGCTGCATATACATCAATATAATGATGTTGCCAGTTGAATTTTGTCAGGAATGGCATATACCACATTTGGCTTCTAATCTCTTCATACATATTGGTTTATGTTATTTTATGATTTTTAACATTGTTAGTAGGATTTTATAGTTCAGCATGTAGAAAACCTCACACATGAATTGATAAAGAAATCATGGTTTAGATTAATGCTCCCACAAATTAAAATAGTGTTTATATATATATATATATGTGTGTGTGTGTGTGTGTGTATATATAACTTTAACCTGTGGACACGAGCTCTTGTATTGTACATAACTTTATATTCAGCATGAAACCATGAAAGTATACATACTATAACTGAAAGTACTTAATGTATCTTCACAATATTTGGTAAGTAAAGCTTACAAGTCTTTTGTACACAGAAAATCAGATTTTCAATAAAGTGTTTTAGTAAAAGTTTGTCTGTGAGTATATGAAGTCAGTGTTGACTAGTCTAAGTACAAGGTGATTTTAATGCTAAGGTTAAAAAAAGTTTTTTCATCTGAAAATTTTCAAATTTCATTTGCAAAATGTCTAAAACCTCATAAATGAATTCTAAATGTTTTTTCAGTGAAACTGTATATTTTATCAGTTGTTTTCTGTATTATAACTGTACTCACTTGGTTGATTTGACAACCTTTTAACCACTGCAAAAACATAAATAAATCTAAATTATTATTTTTTTCATTCTAAAATGTGTGTGCATTTTAACAGACAATTACACAATATTTATTTTTACAGCCTAAGCTAACAGAATTTTTCATTTAGTTATTGTTGTTTTTATTTATAGTTGAACTTTGACCCACTCTCACAAAGTTGTATTTATTATGTTGGTCAGCTTTGTGCAAATTATGGATTGAATTCTCAGCACACTCACGTTGAATTACACAAACATGCTCAGGCTTGATGCATGGTATCATTGATCACAAATATTTTATTTATTCATTTAATTTAAAATTAATTATAAGTTTCTAATTTATATGTGTTAGTTAATTTTATAAAAAAAATAGAAAATATATATCAAAAATAAGAAACTTAGTACTTCCAAAACCTTGTCTTCTTCAAGATTTTATACTTGTACAATCCAAGATGTCAAAATTTAATCCTAATTCACATTATGATAATGTGATCCCAGAATTTTCTTTTAATCCAAATATCCAATATAGAATAAGAAATATTTCCATGCATATAGCATAGAATGTCCTAAAACTTGTATAATTTATATGGCTTTCTAACTAAGATAGAAAAGACTCAAAAATCCCATACCTGGTCAAGCATAGCTCCAACAGTTGCATCCAAGGAAAATTACACCAACATGTTCAAATCTGCTTACACCAAGGCCTTTAGGCCCTATAGCTGTCAGTTAAGTGAAATCCTGTTATTTTGTTGATTGCAAATAATACAATAACAAACATCAGAGAGAATTTATAAGTTTTGAAAGCAATGCTGTGTGGGAGGCATGGCACATGACATTTACTTTATTGCTTATATCTCCATAAAACATAGCTTTCTTGCTACAAATTGACAGCTTACCTTGGGAATATGTATAGTATATGTGAAAAATTTCACAGAAAGTTACAAGACCAAATAGGGGTAGCATAAAATGCAGAAATGAACATTTTGGACTGAAGAAGTGTCATGCAGTATAGAAAATGAGGCTTCATAATTTACTTACGTATATCCCTCTAAAATTAAGAAATTAAAACTTGTATTGAAATTTGAGCAATAAACAATATTTTAATGGCAAATTTAGCAATATGAATGTATAAGACAATAGTTTAATTCAGAGCTGATTGATAAGTGGAATTTGATACTCAATTAATTGTCATGCTCATTAAACATTAGTGATTCTGATTATTACTGTTTGCAATTATCTCAGTAGTCAATTAATAAAAATTACAATTAACTCAATCATCACAAAAATAATCAACTAATCAAAAATAGGGTTTATGATTATTCCAACTAATTAAGTAATTGAAATATGGCCATTATGTTTGTAAGCACCGAGGTGCATAAGGAGCGTCTTGGGTTTTATTTCCATTACCATTAAACTTGGTTATTGTGTCATTTTTATTGCAAACTTAGCTAAAATTACCTGCCACTAATTTTGAACTGCTGATTAAAGGGAAAGCAACTGGCTGATGACACTCATCACCAACTCTCGCTACTGAAGTGTTAAATTCAATGTAAATATACTGTTGATTTATATAGCATTATATTTCTGATTTATAATTGCATAACTTTTCTTTATTGTTGCATTAGCAGGTGTGGATCTAATGATGGGTCCAGATGCCTTAATACATTCATATTCCTTGGCTTTTTACAGACATTAACAATGTGTCTAGACTAGTGATTTGTTTTCATCAAAAGTTATTATTTAGAACAGTGATTCCCAAAGTGGGAACCGCAGCCCCCTGGGGCCGTGAAGCTTTTTCTGGGCTGAAAACAAAGATACTGAATTAATTTTAATTCTAAATAAACAATAAGCCGATAAAAATTATGTTGAATAAATTAAATGATACATTATGTTGAAAGGAGATGTTATTGTTTTTACTATGGCACTGTTTTTCAATCACCATGCTAAAGTTATAGGTTGGGGGGGCCTCAAACTTTTTTATTCACATCAAGGAAGCCTCAGACTAAAAGAGTTTAGGAATCACTGATTTAGGAGACACCTACAGCTCTTATAACATTCACTTGTTGCAGAATCTATTTTTCATTGTTTAGAAACTAAAATTCTAATGGGAAAACTGTATTGTTGATGACTGAAATAAGTGAAGATGCAAATGATATGACTGTTTAAGTTACCATTTTTTAAAACAAACTTTTAAATAGACATTCTGTTTACTAGTGCCATAGTTTGCTGGTATGATTATAAATAATTATAGCTTTTTAATTTTCATTAAAAATTTGAAATGTTTGTTATTAACTGTTTTGAAATTGTAGATTATAACTTTATTGAGTTAATTATTTAAAGAGTATGTTGACATTATTTGAATTTTGTCTTATTAAGGTTACTTTAGAGCTATTTGGTCAAAACTAATTAATCCAAAATACTATATTGTTGTAGTTTTTTTCATGTAACAAAATTTTCAGTATTTTTTACAGTGTTACACAGCCAACTTTTTAAAAGTTAACTGTTATCATACCATCACTGTACAAATGGAACATTACTGTAGCTAATGTGGAAGAATTAAACTTTGTTACTTGTTAACACACAATATTATCTGAATAAACTAGTTTTATTCTGGCAAATTCTTTAATGGTTTTCAGACTTTGTAAGATGAAGTTATCAGTATCAAAAGTTTTATTTTACAAAATAACTAATGTTATTGTAATTTTTATGTAGCCTTGCTTTAAATTTAGGCTACATGAAGAATATCAAAAAATAAAAGTTTTTACTTTATCTTAGTACCCATTTGCCTAATAAACAAAATGAGTTATGATTATTCATTTTCTTGGTGATTATGAAGTGTGTGAGTAAATGTGTAGTTAAAGATACAACACCTAAAGCCCAAATATTGTCACAAACATGCTTATAAACATATAAAACAATAGTGGACTGTCTAGAAAAGTGTACACAGTATTGTTGCAACAGGTGACTGATAAGCGAATAAAACATTAAACAGTGCCATTCTGTTACCTGTATGATACATTTTCATGTATAAAGTTTAGGGTTAAGAAAATAACTTAATTCTAAATTACTGTGCCTAAAGTGTGAAGACTGTTTCCTTTAGCTCCTTTATGGAGTTTCACCAAGTTCTGACAGTTTCAAATATCAATCATTTTCAACAGTTTGAGGAATGGCAAAAGTAAATTTTATAGATTTACGTTTGCTATTTTTATCTAAAAGGATTGGTTCCTTATTGTGTTTGTATTTAGTATTTTTTGACTAACGTAGAAACATTGAGGAAAAAGTATTAATTTTGTTTGAACATTTTTTAATTCCAGGAGAAACTTTGATTTCATTTTAGACTATCTTAAAGCCTTCCAGCTTTGAAGCACCTAAGAGGCCCCTGGTCTCCATCTTTTATCCCATCACAAGTACAGTCCAAAATTATGAAATCATCATACTCTCCCAGATTAATAAGTTAGAGTATGCTGATGACATTAAACCTCAAGGTATTTCTTGTTCTAGTGAGGATGTTAAAGTATTACAGAATGAGTTTCATCACTTAGTAAGTTGAATAAATATTTGGCAAGTGATCTTTGCTCATAGTGATAGCATGGTAATACATTTAGGTTATCACAGTTTGGATCACATGTTTGATATAACTTGAAATCCACTTAATAGTGACTGAATAGAAGGATTTTGCAACACCTTCAAGAAACAGGTATCAGATTTTTTTTCAATCCGACAACTGAAAAAATTTACTTCTGTACTTGTTTATATCTCTACATTACTTTTTCACAGTTAAATATATGAATCTCTATGATTCTTTTTATTTCATGTATTATTTCGATTTTTTTCCCATTTGTCACCAGCTACGTGTACATGTTTATTTTCCAGAAAGGAAAAATACTACTTGACTGCTAAAAGATATTAATAACTTGGACAACTTGATGAAGTGTTTGTCTCAACTGAATTTTACAATTATTTTGTGATTGCTGAGAGCAAAAAGCTGCTACATTATATTTGTACTTGGTATCTAATACATAATAGTTCAACCTTTTTCTTTTTTTAATTCACCTGAAGTTCAGTTTGATTATATCTTGTAATACTGAGCATTTAATTTTTTGTTTATTTAGACGTGGGTGGCATATGGTAGTAGAATAGGTGGGATGTTTGAGCCATGAATTGGTTTCTTGGTAGTTGTTACATATATGTAAACATTGCTGAAACTGAAAGTGTGTGTGTATACTTGCATGCTTCTGTGTTGGCTCAGAAGGCACTTATAATAAGTATATTATTGTATGTTCAGTTTTGTTGTGAATGTCCAGAAACAAGGGCTGGAATAATGGAGTTCACTGTAATTATTGATTAAATAAACTGTTGTTTACCCTATAGGCATACATTTAGATGTACCAACACAGCATGAGAATGGTGTTCTTCAAGCCATCAGTTTTAAACCATGACAACATGTTTAACACACATCATAGAGCTCATCTTTATGCTATGTATTCTTGGAAAGCATTATATCCTTTGAGTATGTGAATATTTCAAGATTTTTACCAAACTATTAAGTTAAAAAATGATTTTTTTTAAATTTACAAAAAAGAAAAGGAGAGACCTGTGCAAGTGTTAACTTTTTAAGTTTAAAGAAATGTATAGTAATGTTCATTACTAGTGCCTCTTCAAGGCTGCAGCATATCCTACAAGATCTTTGGAATTATACCTGTTAAGTCTTCTCATAGATGGCAGCACTACAAGGAATAATGAAATAGACAAGATTAAGGTAAATTAGGGAAATGTTTATTTAGGAAAACTTTTAAATCACAAATATAGAATCACAATTCTTACATATACTTGAGGAACCAAATAGAACCATAAGTATATGGAAGTACTCTAAAATAAGGTTACCTCCTACCCTCAAGTTTCTGACTTGTTTTTATTTTTGTGTTTGACTCATTAGCAACCCTATAACCAAAAGTCAGGGACCAACAAGCAGTTTGGTGCATGAAAACATAAAATTGTTAGATTGCATGACAAAAAACTAGGATATTCGAATATATAATTAAAGGGTTGTCTAAATATGGAAAAATACTAGTGAGATCATAATCATCTGTGGTTAATCTTGTGTTGGTAAAGTACATTGAAATTGAAGGAGGTTTTCAAAGTAATGGAATTTACATTATATGGAGAGTTGGATTTAGTTGCTGGTAAGATGTCAGAAAGACAGATGTCTATACATAATTTTATTTAGGATTAAAGTCCTCTTCACTTAAAATGTTCTAAACAGAGAAAATAAGTCAAATGTATAGTATTACCAGAACTTAAATATTATTTTCCACAAAAGAATCAGTAATTGTTAAAATTAATTTATCACAGTTTAAAAATATTTTGTTAAATGTTTTCTTGGTAACCTTCTCTAGGCTCATGTTAAAGACAACTATATGTATCTGTTAAATCAGTGTATTGATGAAGTTGTACAGTAAGTTGCCCACTTATGAGACATACCTCAACAATCCATTGTCTGAAGTTGTGAATGGTAGAATTTTGTACTTTGGGGAAAAGCAAATTTTAAAATGAGAAATGAAAACTTGTTACAATTTAAGTGTAATAAGATACTAATCTTAAGTATCTTCAAAGTTATATTTTCATTTTATTAAACAGTATATTTATGATAGCAACTAGAAAGCAGAAGTAGTCTATTTATAGAATGTAGACAACATACAAGACTTGAGTGTAAAAAATAACTTCTTTGAAAATATATAAAAAGTGACAGATTAATCTAAAACCTAGTTAAAATTTTATGTTGTTCAGATGTTAGTATATTGATTTTGAAGTGTATAATATCAAAATAGTTGATATAACGTATGAATTCCACCTGAAATAAATGTTTTAGTGAGTAATGAATTTAATAACTATATCTTGAGACAATATACTGTTGTAGTATTCACTAATTAAAAAAATAAAAGTCATGAAACCTCTGTTCTTTTTTGTTTACTTAAAAGCAACTGAAATAAATGTTAATACAGAAAATACAAATTGTCAAGCTTAAAGACAAGTATGATTACATATATATGAAATGCTTATTACTGTTTGAAGGGAAGTGTTTTCTATCTAGCTTCCTTTGTGTCTGTAAATGTTTTTATTCAGATTAGCTAATTTTTATATGAGCAGACTTATTTAGATATGCCAAATACAGTTGAAAACTAATTGATTGAAAAAAGCCATTATCAGGAGTTTGCTGTTTATATATTATATTTGTTAAAAGTTTTGTAAAAGCATAGTTAATTATGTGGTGTTATATGGTAAAGTTGGGAGATTAATCAGTATAATAATTGCCTATGAGCGGTGATTACATCAGTTAATGTCATAAAAACATTGATTAATAAAAATTAATAAAAGCATAGTTAATTATGTGGTGTTATATGGTAAAGTTGGGAGATTAATCAGTATAATAATTGCCTATGAGCGGTGATTACATCAGTTAATGTCATAAAAACATTGATTAATAAAAATTGTGATTAAGCTGATTGTAAAAAAATAACTAATCAAATTAGGGTTTCCAGTTATTACAGCTATTCAAGTAATTGAATTATTGCCACCTCATTTGTTTTTGTTGTCTTTGCTATGGTAAAACTACTAAGATTGTCTGTCTTGTTAATGATATTGAACAACCAAAGAGAGAGAGAAGACAACTGGCTTGCAGCACCTGCCTCCAACTTTCTTCCTCCCTTTTTTTCAGCTGGATTATGTTTCACAATATAGTTATATAATTCATTTATCATATGCAGTTAATAAATATGTAATGTGAAACTGCACTAAGACAGTCTATAAAAGAAAGTATAAGATTGACCTGTTTTTTTCCTAGGATTTTTCTTTAATTTGTTTGAAATATAAACAAAATTATATTAAGATGCTTCCTGTAATAATGCACTTTAACTAGTTCAGGTAACTCATTTCACTCAGTGGAAGAAGGTTTGAGAACTTGTGTTAGTTAACAGTAAATGTGAATTTATTTTGCAATGTGTATTTGTATAAGCAAAAATAACTCTAATATTGATATACCACAAATTGTTGTTAAAAATACATAAGTAACATTTGTATTAAACCTATAATGATAATAATGTGTATTTTTAGATTCTTTAATAATTAATTCTGTTCACAGCGTATGCATAACTTTCTGTTGGTGATGTGCCTGGTATATTCAAGACCATATTAAGTTTTTGTTATATTACTTTGTGTAATGTGACTGGTATGTTCAAGACTATATTAAGTTTTTGATATTACTTTGTGTGATGTGACTGGTATATTCAAGACGACCATATTAAGTTTTTGTTATATTACATCGTTTCGGAAAGTAAAGTAAAGAATGTTATTGTATATGTTGCTAGAGTTGATTATAAATTTATTAAATAGTGTTAACAAGTGTTTTTATTCTTATTTTAACAAATGTTGTGTTAGTTGTTATAATTTATATTTCTGTGTGCTCGGTTGAATTACCTTTGTATATACTTGTGTAAACATAATCAAGTGTCCAAGATACAGAGTTTATATACCACTTGTACAGTACAAATGATAGACTCTAATTTCTAAACACGTCTGCATAAGATATTTAAATCTCAAAATAAGTTTCTCAAATTATACAGTATGTGTTGTTGAAACTATGTGAAATTTCATATTAACCAACTAGGTAATTGTTGGAATAAACTGATACATTGATTCAAAAGCAATTCAAGAAATGTAAAATATGATTTTTAGAGCTACACTTACTACTACTGTAAAAGGGAAATCACTGACATACTTTAATAATTTAACATCACTGGCTGTGCTTGTAGTCTGGTCTTGTCAGTGTTTGTACTTCACAAAATAGACCAAGAAACCAGAAGTATAGAATGAATATGTATGTGTACTACATCAGTGTTCTAATGTGGTTGAATTTTACATATAGCATAGAAATTGCTACTTGTTTTAAAGGCTTATTTTTAATAATGAGTTAGTATAGATTGCATGTTACTCTTATGTAATGTTCAGATAAGTGATAATGTAAAATTTCAATAAGGTTGACACAAACAAGAGTAGTTTAGTTTTGTTAACATACTTTTTTATATCCTTTCAAGCACTGCACTACTTATATTATAGAAAATAACATTTTTTGGCACAATGAAAGATAAAATCCTTTTTAGAAATTTCAGCCAACTAGTTTTGGTATCTCTAGTCCTGATGTTACCAAAACTAGTTGACTGAAGTTTCTAATTAGGATTTTCTTTTATTGTGTCACAAAAAAACTTTTTTTTTATATACTCTTAACATAATTTTGTGCATGTATGTGTATGCAGTATCCATCTGTCATCATTTCAAACAATACATTCAATAAGTATTGCTTAAAGCTTCTGAAAAATATACCTCTGAATACAAATAATGGAGAAAATATGAGTTTTAATGAAATAGCATTGTTTTAAAGTTAATACAAACACTTTCCAACTTAATTGCAATTTCAGTTGTTGCTGATAAATCTTACACCCAATCATTAAGAAAACATTTATTTTACATAAAGCTAATGCTGTACATTTCTTAGGATTTCTTTATTTCAGGCAAGTATGATCAAATATTGGTTGTATGACTATAAATTATATAAATTTTCTCTTGAGAAACTACAGAAACATTCTCTTTTTCTCCAACCAGGACTTCAGTTTCTGTGCCCGGTCTGTCATAAACAGTTTTCAACTAATTCAAACATGAGGCGTCACGTCCGAGACCAACATACTCAAGACAATAGGTTTCAGTGTGAATTCTGTTTTAAGTCATGGAGAAGATCAGATCACCTCAAAATTCATCTGAAAACTGTTCACAGTATAAAAGATTCAAGCAGACGTTTTGATCTGATATGGACTAAACAAGGACCAAAAACTTAGGCTATGAAAAAATTATTTTTGCCTCTTATTACTAAATATAGTAAAATAAAGCCTGTGAAAATTCAGCTGACACATTATTTGTACAATATGTATTGCCATTTCACACGTTTGTAACATGATTTGTAATGTTTTTAATTTAACACTGTTTTACATGTAATTCTATAATAACTTAGAAAACCCTTGTTTTATGTCTTATAATCTATATAAAAAAATATTTTGTGCAATTTTGTAACCTTACATGTACATCACTAATGATAAATAAAATGCAAAAGGAACTACACAGTAATTGTATTTTTTTAATATTTTACTAAGTATCTTTTGGAAGTGGTCCATGTGTTTAAACACAATTTAAATCTTGAGAGTAATCTTGGTTCCATAAAAAATTATTTCCAACTTTCTAAGGAAAAAGGAGGTAGTATAGCTTAATGTGAAAGCATGTTCTGTTTATGTAAACTGGAATTTCTATCTTGCTAATGAATTTGATTACATATTCATTCTCTTTTTTTTATATATAAATACAGAATGCTTCAATGAATAATTATATTATTATTTGCTCTATGTTAATAAAATATTATCTAATTAGTTTCTAGTCGGTGTACTCCAAATAGGTATTGGTAGCATTTTACAAATTCTGATAAATGGGATGAAACTCGTAAATCATGATTGACTTACTATATACAATCTCTACAATTAAAGATACATAAATTGCCCATAAAATGATTACCATAACCTAACCAAGTATTGTTTGCATCCAAAACCAGAATATTTGTCCAGTGAAATAACAAGGCTAACTTTTTACAGTTTTAGCTGTTACCTAAGGTTTGGTAACAGGTAAGGTGTAAATTAACAGATCCTCTGGATTTTTTCAGTTTGTCAATATAATATGCATAAATTTATATGTGATATTTAATTGGTTCATTTGATATATTTTATTTAAATGCTACTTTTTAGCTCTTGTGCAGTTTGATTCTTTGAATTATATATGTATAAAATATATTTGAGCTATGCAGTAGAAGGGTAACAATAGCAGCTAAAAGAATGTAATAAACATTGAAATTCGATGACGAGGAACCCACTTTGAGACTAATAATGGCTGGAGACGGCTTAAATGGGTAATGAAGAAAAACTTTAATATAAGTTTAACATGACAGCCTACTCTAAACCAACACCCC